TACACAATTCAGTGTGCAAATGCAAAAGTTACGTGTTTGGTGAAAAAATTGGTTGATAAGTGTGAAAAGCCGAAAAACAGTGTTACCAAACGACCTCTAATGCGCGCAACTCAGAGATAGAAACTCCAAAGGCGCTCACTTTCATCCATCAAAGTTTTGATGAAAAGATAGATGAGCCTCTGAGATAGAAGCTGTAGCCTCCACCTCAAAAGAAGATGGGAAATTCTTCAAGCATCTTTAAAAGGAGTTGATGGAGTGAAGAAGGCATGCCCCAAACGTATGTTGTTGTTAAAGGAATATTTAATGTAATTATTATGAATGTTGTTGATATCATTGTTAATGTGGTTGTCATTACAATAGTATTATTATTACAACAATGTTTATTCTTGCTGATTGCACGCTTTATAAAACCAAACCTATTTCATTTATTTACTCCCTCCGTTTCTAAAAGAAACTCACACACTGCACTTTCCATTTTGGGATGTTTCAAAAACAAAGTCACACTTCCCTTATTTCCTTATTTGGCAAAGAAATCTACATCCAAACAGTGCCAAACAGACAAACAGTGTCAAACAGTGTCCAAACAGTGTCAAACAGTGTCTAAACAGTGTTTTCTACGTTAAAATCAATTTATTTCCTTAATAATCGTGAAGTCAAACCGTGACTTTCTTTTGGAAACGGAGGGAGTATATTGCATTCTATACTTTTCTTATACTCCGTATTAAATGTTATGTGTATTTATAAACTATTGGATACATTTCATGTTGATGTTTTGTAGTGATAAAGTTTTTTGTAATGCTTTGCGTTTGTGTGCTTTTATAAATTAGGTACCTTAACACTGACAAAGCTAACCAAATATATTTTGACAAATTTGATACATAAAAATCAAACTATTAAAACTGATTCTATCAATGATAAAAGAGCACTTAATAGTACTCCTATTATTATTACAAATTTAATTTCAATGTTTCAAGTGACATTAGCCATATATTTTTACAATGTATATCGATTAGATTAGATTAGATTCAGGATTTTTGTAGGAGTAATTAATTAAGTGTCTGACTCAATGAATGCATGACCCACCGGCCACCACCATTAGCCTTCCGGTCATTCAGAATTTCTCTGGTTAGATACGTAGTAGTTAAACATCAAAACCTAAAGAACGCGTTCCTTGAAACATACTATCTCCGTCACTGAAAACTTTGTCAAGTTTGACCGGCACGGGGATTAATAAAGTAAAAACTGTGTGGTAGAGGTTTGTGAAGAGAAGATAGAATTAACTACAACCACAAATTCTTTATTTAAAAGAGAAAGTGACAAAGTTAGTGATACAACCAAAAGATGAAAGTTGGCAAAGTTTTAAGAGACGGATGAAGTATGATTCTATCCACTATAGAATCATATTGCACATGTTTCTTCACTCTTTCATTTTTAAGGGGTATTCTAATACAAATTCAATACAAATGAATTGATTATTATGAGGCCACATAAATCATTTGTTGGGAAGCATGACTCCCTAGCTTCTTCCAAGTTGGATCACGAGCTCAAATGACTCTTGTACACCCACTCATAACATAATGACTCAGGATGATAATATGACTATGTATTATACAATGAAATATTAAAAGATACTTCCTCCGTTCTTTTTTAGTTGCAATGGTCAACATTTCACATTTGCAAACACACGTCTTTGACCGTAAATATGTCTTACGGAGTATTCTTTATTAGTAAAAAAAATTGAAAATCAGATTTTGAAAATTTGTAATGAGATGAATTGAACAACATTTTTTTAAAAATAATTTTCATAATATATTAGTGTAAAATATAGTCAAAGTAGAGCATGTGAATAGTGTAAAATTCAACATGTTGCGATTAAAAAAACGGAGGATAGTATTTGACAAATAAACGTGTAGCTCACTTCACTCTTTGTATTTGGGGTTACTTCATTCACAAACACTTATGAGAAGCCTTCTTGGATTGTCTCCTCTCACCTTCAATTCAAGGATGTTATTCGCTCACACTCATCATGAGACATCCTTGGGTTTTTTCACAAAAGGCTCTCTCACTCTCTCTATAGGTGGCACTCACTCTCAGTTCTCACGCTCTTAAGAGCTCTCAAGACTCTTTAGAACTTCCAATACACCACTATTTTTCTAGAGTCTTTCAAGAAGTATATGCAAGGTCCTCTTATATATTTTGGAAGGATCTAAAGTACTTCATATTTCTTCAGAATGTTCTAGAGGCTTCCACAATTTTCACGTATTAGAAAGTTCTATAATATTATACTCTTTCACACGCTTCTAGATAATTCAATGTCTCTCTAGAATGTTTCAAATATTCTAGAATATTTAATACTTCTCTACACACATCTAGAATTGTAGACATCTCCATAATATTCTAGAAATCTCATAAACTTCTCAATTAAGAAAGGTAACTCATAATAGAGTTATATAGAGTTAATTTTCATTAAATTTAATTTCTTTATCATTTCCAAATCAGTATTAGAGCATCTCAAGCGGTTAGCTAATTGCATTTATGACTAAGCATTTAGAACATCTCATGTGGTTAACTATATATGTTCTTAACTAGTCACCTAAGCATTTGCAACAAAATTAAGATGTACCCCAATTATTAGCTATAACTTATTCTTATTCATTTATCATTAATAATGTTGTATTAAATAATTCTCTTTGCTGAAACTATTAACTCATTTTGGCTAAATTAGCTTTTTAAAGCAAAAAAGAAAGACAATACTTCAATGGTAAGCTATCAACTGTTAAAGTATTTGTCCCACACCGGAAAGGTATAAAACAATAAAACACTATATAAGGTTTTGGACTACTCCTCCTATCAGGTTGACCTTTTAGGATGGAACCTTGTGTCTGAACATGGTATCAGAGCCAAATCGATCCATGGTGTGTGGCCCCTTATGAAAAATGAAAACAAAAATGGCAGGATGAAGAAAAAAAACGGACCGATGAAAAAAAAATGAATGATGGCACGATCGAGACGAAGTGTCTGGTCGTGAGGAGAGGTGTTAAATGTTCCACACCGGAAAATTTTGGATGAACGAAGTGCTATATTAATACATGGGCTACTCCTCTTAACTTGAAACCGTGAGTCTTAACTTGAATCGTAATGACACGATTATAAAAACGACCGGATGAAAAAAAATGGACCGATGAAAATAAAATGAATGATTGCACGAGACAAAGTGTCTGGTCGTGAGGAGGCGTGTTAAATGTCCCACACTGGAAACGTTTGAATGAATAAAGTGCTATATTAACACAAGGACTATTCCTCCTATTAGGTTGACCTTTTAGGATGGAACCCCGGGTTTAACATGGTATCAGAGCCAATTCCAGTTGTGGTTTGACTGCTTGTTAATTAGTACCCATGATTGCGGGTATCTTGTTAAGGGTCTGTTTGGCCCATTTATACACCCCTATATTGTTCAGTCCGGTTCGGTCTGAGGGGGCGTGTTAAAGTATTTGTCCCACACCGAAAAGGTATAAAACAATAAAACACTATATAAGGTTTTGAGCTACTCCTCCTATCAGGTTGACCTTTTAAGATGGAACCCCGTGTCTTAACATCAACTTTAAAATTGCAAGTAAACCCTCCAAATGAACCATCTAAAATGTTCATACTGTGTTTCTTTATAAAGAATTTGTCGGTCTCTTTTTCCATCCTTTTTTCATTCCGCTTTCAAATGAAAGAGATTACGACTCGCCGATTTTGATTTTTAGGATGATATTTACATGTCAACATTAATTAGGTGATGAAAATTAGGCATATAACTTAATTGCGTGTGACACATGACAATATATTAGTTTATAATGTTTTATCCATTTTTTATTAATCGGATGTTCGTATAGAAAGTGTGAGACAAGAACATATTTTTTTTTAACTTTTTAGGTCCACTAACTTTTTGTTCATTGTTGAGATTTTAGGAACAAGAGAACCCATTTCAAAAAAAATATTGAGGTGATTTTTATATTCGACACACGTGTTGTCACTTTTGTTTTAGCATATAACTTAAAGTAATTTTTTATTGACTTGAATAATTTTATTATAGTTCATACTTTTAAGGAGTATGAAATAATATTTCATATAGAGTATATTTATAATTAAACTAACTATGGTATCAAAAGTTTATACCCACAATACGATCCTGAACTAGAAATACCACGGCTCTATCAAGGGTTCATACGCTTGATAGAAAATTGAAAGAATGGCTCCTTTTGGCGAATGTTAAAATGGCTTAATCAACTTATATGACTGAATGAGCTGGAATGATTGGACAAAATGTGTTTCGTGATTTATTTGGGTGAAATGAGTAATTGAATCTATAATTACCTAAAAGGATATGGTGTATATTTTTTTAAATAGGAAATACAAAAATAGATGGCAAAAGAGTTACTACGTATTTCCTACAAAAATAAAAGTAAGCCGCAAAAGTAGTTTGAGGTCATTTTTTGCTTAAAAGCCTGATCAGACATAGCAGCCAAATGTGGTTGTGTTTGGTGCTTTTTGAATCTTTTAAGGCATATTAGCCAATTTGGAGGCTCCAAATGGGCTCTAACTTGGCAAACCTTAAGAAACTTTCTTACTACGTATTAGATAAAATATGTATATGAGGTTACATAACCAAAATCTACCATAACTACAATACTTACTTCTATTATAAATGACTTATAATTTTAAAGACTTGTAGAGATAAGGAAACAACAATTTACAATTGGATCAAATGGTGCAGTAAAAACAAAAATAAAGAAAAGCAACCACTCTTTATGAACTAAATACATACTACGTAGTATATAATAGGCCAAATATAAAAATGCATATACATTATACACAGATGATTCATATACGATAATAAATTAATACCCCTTGAAGTTAGAGAAGATGGTAAATCTGACAACCCGAGGAACTAATTGATCAAAGCAGCAGAATTTTAATAGTTTGATAAATATATCAGAAATAAGAAATTTAATCAGGCGGAAGCAATATGACAAGTCGCATGAAATAAGCTGCAGCTGGTAAAGAACATTTATTGTGGTGACATACTCGGTACTCCCAACTTTACAAACAAATTTGATGAAGGGATTACATCCAACAGTTCAACAAATATATTTGAAGTCATCTGTAAAAACTAAGTACACTATTACTGGGAAACTAGCGAACGGGATATAATTTTAGTGTGCTAAAATTTGGGAACATAGATGCAAAGATTGGGCTATCTCATTTCTCAAAGAGAGAAACAAAGCAAGATTAACAACATGATTATCAGGTTCCTGGAATCAGCATTGTAAGGTCTAATGCATGTCTAAGGAATTTATGGCTCTAATGCCAAAATATGACATCATGATCTCGGCATGACAGGGATTTCTTTCTATTTTGGAGTAAAAGCACCACTTCTATTTCGGGAAATTTTCCAATTTTTTAGTAATACCGTCACTCTTGTCTTAAATTAAGCACTATGTAGTTTTAACTGAATTACAGAGCACTTTAGTAAGTATTGAACATGAGCACCATTTGAAATTACAAATACTTACTCAAATGAGACTTCTATGCTTATATGGCAAAAAGTTAGACAACCCATGTCTTCTCAAAAGCAATGTTATTAACGACCAGTGGTGTATTATGGTGGATTGCCAAAATCGCCACCATAAAACCACTGCTCTTCACAAACTCCAGATAGAAGTCTGCCATATTTCCACCAAAGCCACCATTTGACAACACTGCTCAGAAGTTGAGAGAATGACCCTGGACCAGGTTGAAAGAGAAATTGATTCAGCTCCCAAGAATATTTCCAAATTAACATTAACTGAGAAAGATATGTTGTGTAGGATAAATAAGATCTTATACTCAAGTCTTTTTTGCAACTGTTGGTGTATTTGTAATATTACTCACCTACCCTTGGCTCTTGGAACAGAAGCCATTGATTACATGAAAATAGAATAACTAAGACATTGTCTTTACATAGCGAAAACCATTTATAACCAACAAAACGGTACAATATAAAAGATCAAAGCGACAATCAAATGGAAAGGCGGAGGCATATACAATAAAAAGGGATCAATGGCATACCAAGAGCATATGCATACCCTTGATTATGATGCTACTTATTCAATGCGAAATGAAGCCAGTGATGGCCTTGATAATTATGTACATACATGATAATGTATTTAACTTCCCCTGCTGCTAACATTTCACGGACTTTTAGCAGTTATATTTGTGATGCGGAAGGTATGGAACCCTGACCAACCTTCATTAGCAACTTCCTTTGGTTCTCATTAGTATGGGGGAGGCTGGCACGCAAAAGCTCAACAGGCATTTCACTATTTATGGCCCTTCTCACTTCTTCGCTTGTTTCTGTGTTTACAGCTGCATGCATTATATTGTCAAACTTACTCAAACAGTATCTCGTCAAAAGAACGAAAAAGGCGTCAAATGAAGCATTCCATAGGGCATGGTTTGGCATGCCAAAGGTCGTCAACAGGTAAGAAGCCCTATCCAGGACAGATTTTAAGATGAGGGAGGCACCATCACCAGCAGGGCTTCCAAGGGGGCGGAGAGGTGGTTGCTCTGATGAACACACTACGGCAGCTAGACAAGCACCCAGTGAATTAAGACTCATCCCACTGACACATGTCGATACTGCCTTTGCAAGATTGGTCGCCTCCTTGGCCCCACTACCGAACAAAAACCTTAGGTGACGAGAAACCGCCATGCAAACTATCCTGGCGAGATCTCCTCCTGGAATAAGAAGCTGAAGGTATCTAGATATGAGTTTCTTGCCTTTGGGGATGGAGACTACCCACAAGAACACAATATCATCCCTAGGATTTGGCTCGCTCTGGCGGTTTGCGGTTTTCCCAAGAGGGTCTGCAAGTTGAAGTGAAGCAGCCATACCTTCTAAAAGCATCTGCCGTTTTTGCCTCAGCTGAGCTCCGCCATCTTGTGGCTGGCTAAACTGAAGAAGCCGGTCAATGTCATCTATTTCAAGAAGAAGATAGAAACTGTCCTCTATTGTGATTCTAGCTGCAAATTTTGGATCACGCTCCAAAGGGGTGTCTTTCGATTGACGAGAAGATGAGTCCGGTGGGTCTGCTTCCAGAAGAGAGGTTGGCCTACGAATAGACGAGAAAGAAACCCTTCCTTGAGCATCAACACGCAGATGGGGTAGTGACTCTGTCATGTTACGAGACCGGGAAGGCGTTTCTTTGCTTGGATTTGGACAGAGACGGTATTTTGACTTCTTAGCAAGTCGGGCTTGGTGGTAATAATCATCGACATACGGATCGTTGCAATGGGTCCCAGATTGCTGCAATTTGAGAATGTTTTCAATTTCTTCGCCCGTCATGTACTTGGATCTGAACTGCAAGACCTTACTTTCATTTTTTGGGCTACCACTTGATTCAGGTCCTTGTTGAGCAAATCTCACACTTTTACCCTTGTGTGATTTCGGTCTTGAATCAGGTAAGACATATTTACCCAGGTGAGATGGGGCAGAAAGAGAATTATACAGGTGATGAGATCTCACAGCAGGAAGATGGGGGAAAGTGGCTGGAGAAGAAAATTGCAGTCTCTGGTGCTCAGTGGACATTAACTGAGGGGAAAGTATAACATTGGGATGCAGAAACTGATGTGGCGGCAACCTGGTGTTTGAATGGGTGACCCAGTTGTTCTGTAGATGGTTATTTATGGAGAAATTGGGAGAGATTAGTTGGGGCCTATTTCCATACTGAGGCCCATGAGAAAAGGCAGACAAATGCAAATTAGGGTTTGACAGAGAAGACACATTTGAATCAGAGAAGGGTGACTGGTGTAGGTTGTGTGGTGAAGTCTGTTGAGATCTATCACCAGGAGGAGGAAATGATGAGAAAGGAGATCTTAGCAGTGAAATAGGTTCAGGATATGAAGATGTCCTATGAAGTGGTTTTGACTCTGAAAGATGATGCAGAGAAGAGAGATGTGGTTGAGAAGACCATCTTTTGCTTTCCCTGTAACATTCTGGGTCAGATAAATGATGATCGAGCAAGTCAGGAAGATCTGCATCTTTTGCCCACTCAGCTGTAGTTGTGGAAGAGCCTGCACACAAAGTTTGATTATCATATAGAGCCTCACAGTAAGAATTTCATCCCAATAGAGAAGGAAAAGTAAACCTTACAGAGTTCATTATGTTCAAGACTTTGTACTACATCCGTCCCAAATAGAGTCTTGTTTCATTAAGGTTTATATAAATTTTCTTGTAAACTAATGTTTCTATCCTACATATATTTTTACATTCTTTGTTTTAAAACTAAGATATATAAATTGTTTGGAAAACGTTTTGGGAAAAGTTACATTGAAATCAATGAATATAAGACTCTTAAGTCTTGTCTTGGAACAAAATTAAGTTTTGAAACAAGAATTTTTTGAGACAGAGGGAGTATATTTTTTCTTTCCCATTGTCTTTAGCCAAAGTAAAAGAAAACAATAAGAATAAGTTTTTCCAGTGCAGGTTATGACACAGAAAACAATTAGGGAGGTTTTGGACTACCATGTTTGTAAGCTTATCTTTGGTAATATGAAATTAGGAATAGGATTATCGGCTTGCTGCCGATAAGAGAGCAAGATTACGCGAATATGAGATTATCTTATGTTGTTTGGTTCCCAGAATATGATATTATTCATGTCCTTAATTTGTCAAAGAAAAGCTGGGCATAGTCTAAACCAGTGCCTAAGGTAATCTCAAAATACCTAAGAAAATGCCTCATTTACTTAAAATCCAAACACAGCACATTACTGAATTAAATTGAAGACCTGATGAATACATGCTACATTATCTCAAGATTCTCAATAATATTCCCTGGGTCATGATATATGTCCCTTTTCTTTTTTTTCTATTTATATATACATATATATTCTATTTTTATATAGAGAGGGCAGTTCATATCAGTCGCGTCCGATAGGAACTGCCGTGTGGCCACCTCCATTTGAGGTGCTTCCGGTTGGAAATTTTTATGATATTTTTTAGGCATGTTGTTCATGAAGTGCAAGTTATGTCCACAAAATTTCAGGTTAAAACTCAATCGGAAAGTCAGTTAAATGAATTATTATTGAAAAACAGTGAGCCTTTTAAACTGAAGTTAGTTATATAAAAGGCATAGTATTTTTCAATAATAATTTATTTAGCTAACTTCCCGATATAATTTTAAGTTGAAATTTTATGAACATAATCTACACTTCATAAAGAACATGCTCACAAAATTTCAAAAAGAAACTCCAACCGGATGCAACTCAATGGAGGCGGCCACACGGTTGTTCCTGTCAGGCACGCCTAACAGGAACGGTACTATATATATATATATATATATATATATATATATATATATATAGGGGATGGTTCAAATACAAAGAGCTCTTCCCATGCAAAGTGAGAATGAATCTTGTGCATTCATTTCCACATCTAATGGCTCAAAATGAGCCAAAAATGCACAAAATTCGGCCAAAATCACGGTGCAACAGAAACACGAAAAAGTGCAAGCGGAACATGAAAAGTGCATATCTTCGCACTTTGCACGGGAAGAGGTCTTTTTATTAAATATAGGGTAGAGTTCAAATAAAAAGACCTCTTCCCGTGCAAAGTGCGAAGATATGCACTTTTTCATGTTTCGCTTGCACCTTTTCGTGTTTCTGTTGCACTTTTTCGCGGTTAGATGTGTGGCGAAAAAGTGCAACATATTTACGAAATTGCCACCGCAATTTTGGACGGATTTTGTGCCTTTTTTGGCTCATTTTGAGCCATTAGATGTTGAAATGAATGCATAAGATTCATTCTCACTTTGCATGGGAAGAGCTCTTTGTATTTGAAACATCCCCTATATATATATAATATACATACTCCGCATATATTTTTGAAACGGGAATATATGATGCATTATAAGGTTTGTACTCACTTTCCCTTGAAAAAGATCCTGACCCACGGTCACCAATAACTCCAGGATGTCTTGGACCTGCAACAACTCTGTTCAACTGGAAGGAGAATATATGTGAAATTGCAATAAAAATTTACAAAGCCTGCTGTCTTCCATAAAATACTAAGACAATAGCAATGACTGACAAAGAATTACAATTAAAAAACTGACTACTCACAAGGTGTAGAATACAATACTCCGTATATAATAAGAGAGGGATGAAATTCAATATAATACATAATATACCTTCTTGATAACCAGTTTACTAAGCTACATTTTTGCATGAGATGATGGTGTGATGACAAATGTACATAATGATCCAAATATTAATATACATGGTCTGAGACATAATTACAAATAACAATAAATGGTAAAGATAATCCAGAGAAGGTTAGGGCTAGGGACAAAGAACTACGTATCCACATAAGAACCTTTAAGAATGGTGCAATCCCCAGAAGCATCAAGCTTATAGGAACTTTTACACTTGAAATCATTAACAGTGCATATTTTTGTCATATTTTGGTACACTGAACACAAATCTAGAAAAGAAATACTAGTGTCACAGCCATAATTGCTGCATATATTAACTTATAGTGCCTTCAAAACGTAATTACAATGGTTTCAAAGTCTAAAAACATGAATATTGTTATGAAAAAAACTCTAGTACAGCCATGAAGAAATAGAAGAGTTTAATTGCTGCAGGATCAGAAAATCCGTCTAGCTGACCTTCAAAAAGGTTGTAGCTAGATCATCTAGATCAGACGAAGATCCTAATCCAGACCCCTGTAGATGAAGAATTGAAGTGAACAAATAGGTTAGTAAACTTTCACACCACAAGTAAATAGCAAATGCAGCAAAAATACATCACTTTTTTATCTTTTTTTACATCTGAAGAGTGCTGCACAAAAACATAGAACAGCTGAGGCATAACATATGGGGAATAGACTATGGAAAAGTATAGTCATACCTCATCTTTCTCAAATAAATGATACTCATGTATCTCACTGTCCCCACCTGCAACTCCTCCCACAACAGGAACGCTACTACTACTGCTACTACCTTCTTCATCCTCCAACCCGCCCAACTCAACTTCATCTCCTTGCCCGAAGAAGGCATAGTGAGAAGCATCGAAAAGTCTACTTTCTGCACCAAAACCTACAAAATTCAAGGTGGTTTTAGCTTCTTCACGAATTTCCAAATTCCTGCATTATTCACAGGCACAATCCAAAACAAAAACACTAAAACCCAATTTATAAGACAGTCACCGTAGGAAGAAAGGTAATCCAGAGTTTAACGGCAATGACTTCGCCTGGATTCTTTGTAAAACGAAGAACAATCAGAACTGGAAAAATAATGCAAAGGTGAGAGAGCTAACCAGAGACGGAGCTGAATGAGTCGGTGAAGTCCCGGCGAGATGATCTCTCCATGGTTACAAGCCAGCTGTAGAACCGGCAACCTTAGCAACTCCTACACATTCACACGCAAGCAATTATATATGCAGATCAATAAGTCAACACTTCACCTAATCTGAGAAGCCAGATTCGTCAAGACTGGGAATTCTAGGGTTTGGCGAGGAGAGAAAAGCAGGTAAGAGTAGCGTATGAAGAATTGATTTAGAAAGAGCTGGGTTGAGGAGAGGAGGCTCTCATGGGGTCAGCGAGAGAGAAATTAGATGGAGAAGGATAGACCGGAGGGGAAAACGTTTTTTTTTTTACAGATGGAAGGGTATCAGTACACTTTGCTTTAGTACCCCTAGTGTTGCGTATTTGTCTTGCTCACCATTTTTTTGAAGGAAAAACTCACGCCTTTCTCATTGTTTTGTCCCTTTTTTGGATAATCGAAACAACTTTTTCTATAGGTACCCCAATTAGTACCTCAATTTGTATCTCATCCTATTTTTGTGGTTCAAAAAAGTTCATCTTAATAAATGAATTGTCTTACTTTAATGAGGTGCTTTTGTGAGCCACAAAAATAGGGTGGAAGTACAAATTGGGGTACCTTTAGCATTTTTCTAATCGAAATTAACTACGTAGTACTAGACTAGAAACAGCCGCTTTTCCCATAGCATGAGTCTCTTGTTTTGTCCCTTAATAATGATTTAATTATAAGTGTATTTGAAGTAATGCTTAATATATAATCCAAGTAGGGAAAAAATGTGTTCAAAATCTAAAACACAGTTACTATAAAATTGTACTCATATTCATTTAATTCATATGTTTGTTCAAAAAATTATTTAAATAATATTTTAGGGAAAATATCTATTTGTTTTTTCAAATGCCTTTTTACCTTTTTTGTGATAATTCAAGTTTTGGTATTGCACTCTCATAATGCTAAAGTCTAAGAACTACTCTATAAAATCCATAAACGAATAAATCTAAATTTGATCACAGTCGAATTTCATTAGTGTTGACTTTAAAAAAGGGAAAATAGAAATTAACAATCCAACCTTTTAGCGGTTTTTTTACAATAGTCTCACCTTATCGATATTCATTAATAATCCATCATTTTCACCCAATATTCTTTCGTTGGTCCCTGAGTAGTTGATGACCTGCTATTTCAGGTTTTTTCATTTTCTTTATAAATCATTCCAACCATAAATCCTACATTTCACAAAACTTCTCCAAGCAGTCCCACATATCATTTTTCTTTTTTCTTCCTAAAACTTTTCTCTTTTTATTTTTATCGTCTTGACTCTTTAATTCCCATTTTTGGTCCTCTTATTCTTATTTTTATTACTTTTCAAGTTCTTTTGTTTTTTTCAATGATTTTTTAAAATAAATAGGCTTAAATTGATAACACATAATTCAGATTATGGATAATCCGACAAAAAGATTCCTGACAACCGCCGTCCCGCGAACCAGACTCGGAATTAATCACCTCCAAAGAAGCAATATAATTCGTTGATCCATAAATGAGAACAAAAGAGCCAAAGACGGTTACCGCAATCCTCTCATCACCCACATCCAAAAACAACGTCTGACAAGCATGAAAACAAACAACAAAACAGAGCATGCTACAGAAATAAAATTCACTAAAGTAAATAACAAAACAGATAAAATGAATCCTCAGTCCAAGCCTGTCAAACCATTTTTCAATGTTTATGTATTCTATTTTTTCCTCTTTTTCTTCTTTTAGTTTATTATTTCATTTTCATTTTTATTTCGTATTAGTTTCCTTATAAAAGATCTTTTTTTCACCATATTAACTTTTTTACTTTATTTTCTTTTTACTTATACTTATTTATTTCTTTTTTTCCTTTACTTACCTTTATTCTACCACTAATATATTTGTGAGAAAATAGCCCAAAAATAGGACTAAACTGATCCCTAAATGCAAAAATAGGACTATGTTATTTATCATTCCAAAAGGACTAAAATATTGTCTATCTGCTTATTCTACATTTCTACTCCTACCATAACTTAATAGGAAAATCATATTTTACATTATAATAAAAAATAAAAATAATCAAAGGTATTTCAATTTATAAAAATATAGTAACAAAATAAAAAGAAAGTTAAAACAATTTTTAATGTGTTTTATCTGGTTTTATTTAAATTTAATGTTTTCTTTAAAATAATTTTTATCACTGTTTATTATTTTTATAACATTTTTTTAACTTTTTTTTTGTTACTATATTTTTATAAAATTGAAATACTTTTTGTTATTTTTCCTTTTTATTATAATGTAAAATATGATTATCCTATTTAGTTATGGTATGGGTAGAAACATAGAATAAGAAGATAGACAAATAGACAGTACTTTAATCCTATTTTAGGAAGATAAATAACATAGTCATATTTGTGCATTTGGGGATTAGTTTAGTCCTATTTTGGGGCTATTTTCTCAAATATATACTAGTGGTAGAATAAAGGTAAGAAAAAGAAAAAGGAAATAAATAAGTGTAAGTAAAAAGAAAATAAAGTAAAAAATTAGTACAGTGAGAAAAAGATCTTTTATAAGGAAACTAATCCGAAAAAAATATATAAAAATGAAAATGAAACAATAAACGGGAAGAAGAAAAAGACGGAAAAATGGAATACATAAACATTGAAAAAATAAAAGAAAAATGAAAGTAATAAAAATAAGAATAAGAAGACCAAGGGGGGATAAAAGAGTCAAGATGATAAAAAAAAGGAAAAGCTTTAGGAAGAAAAAAGAAAAATGGTACGTGGAACCGCTTGGAGAAGATTTGTGAAAGGTGAGATTTATGGTAGAATGATTTGCAAAGAAAATGAAAAAATATGGAATAGCAGGTCATCAACCGGTCAGGGACAAGCGAATGAAGATGGGGTGCAAAGGTTGGATTATTCATGAATAACGATGAGGTGGGACTACTGTAAGAAGACTGTTAAAAGGTTGGATTATTAATCTCCATTTTCCCTTCAAAAAATGAATCTAGCAGATCACTCCGAAATGACTCGATTAATGGTTCAAGATTATGTAACGTATTCAACATTCTAACAGACGTTACCTTTGAAGATTCTGAGGCCAGATTTTTAACAATTTAAAATGTGTCTTATTTCATCTGTCACATTTAAAGTTGTTTGTGCGATTCACGATATTTAACTAACAATAAAATTAATTTTTTCAATATAAATATTATTGTTAATTATACAGATAAATCTAAATTTAGTCACAGTCAAAATTCGATGGTATTGACTTCAAATAATGAATCTAGCAGATCACTCGGATACGACTCCCTTAGTGCTTCAAGATTATGTAACGTATTCAACATTCTAAAACATTCTATAACATTCTATAAGACTTTACATTTGAAAAATTCGAGGTCACATATTTAACAATTTAAAATGTAGCATGGTCTCATCATAAAAAGTTAAAAATGTGTCTTACTCTGTCTGTCATATTTTAAAGTTATTTCTGTGAGAGTCCCGTTCGAGTCAGGAAGGCCTGACCGGAAGCCCCGTGCGGCCTTCCCCTTTTGGGGACCTTCCCGGTGGAATTTTTTGATGAAATTTTGTGAGCATGCTCCTCATCAAGTCTAGTTTATCCATACCAAATTTCAGCTCAAAATTCGACCGGGAAGGCAGTCAAATAATTTCTTGAAACATAATGGGCATTCTGCGCATATATAAAGTGCAGTATGTTTCAAGAAATTATTTGGCTGCCTTCCCGGTCGAATTTTGAGTTGAAATTTGGGATGGATAAACTAGACTGAATGAGGAACATGCTAAAAACAATTCATCAAAAAATTCCACCGGGAAGGTCCCCAAAAGGGGAAGGCCGCACGGGACTTCCGGTCAGGCCTTCCTGACTCGAACGAGACTCATTTGTGTGATTCCTAATATTTAACTAGCATCATGTATACAACATCAAATTTGGACAATAAAATGGGGTGCAAACTCAAATTATCCCTAAAATTAATTGTTTCCTGAATATATATAAACGGGTAAATCTAAATTGGATCACAGTCAAATTTGGTTGCATTGACTTGCTTCAAATAGGTGGTTTAAAAAAAAATTACCTATGTTGAATGCGAGAACGCAAATTAAAGTGTACTTAAATGTATTGAAAAGAACACATTTTTTCTCGTACTTCTAGTCTAACTAGCATCATGTCTGATGGGATATATTTAGGAACAACCAAAAGTGTACTTCAATGTATTGAAAAGAACACATTTTTTCTCGCCCTTCTAGTCTAACTAGCATCATATGTGATTGGGATAGTTTTAGAAACAACCTATTTTTCAAGTTCAATGCAATAGTGCTAGTCTTAGAAGCTAATTTACTGTAGCACGGTACTTATAAGTAAGTTATAAAGCACAAAAATGTGAAAAAAAATTAGAAACACATTGGATCATTCAATGCACACTGTCCCATTTAGAAAATATTTGATTTTAAAAAATTAGTCCGATAGGATACCCAAGAGTGTTATAACCCTGTAGCCCGAATGCTACACCTTTGTAGCATTGTTATAGCACGCTCTTGACAACACTTGTAATGATAAAACACATGATAATCAGAGCATTCTAAATGTAAAGAAATAGTAGAAAAATGAATAGGGTGAGTTCTTTTACAACTGGTTCTTCTTAACAAGTTCACATAGACGTGGTTCATTCAATATGTTGGGTATTTTTGAACAAACATATTGACCACATATGGGGCCAAAATTAAGCATTTTAATTAAGATTATATATGATCTGGGAAATGAAATAAAAGGGAATAAACTTAATGGGGCATGATTTGTGTTAAAATTTCATTCATAAGTGCTTTATTAAGAGTTGGTTAGAAGTCCATGAAAGTGCTCAATCATAATTGTTTTATTAGGAGTTGGGTAGAAAGTCCATTAAAAAATGCAGTTCAGTTTATATGTTTGGCTCTAATGGAAAGTGAAAGAGCAAAACTGTTAAGTACAATTTTGTAAAGAGAAGAAGCTATTTAATAACTCAAGTGTCAGTATTGCACTCTTATAATGTTAAATGTTAAAGTCTAAAAACTACTATGTAAAATCCATAAAAAGGTAAATCTAAATTTGATCACGGTCAAATTTCATGGGTGTCGACTTCAAATAATGGATCTAGCATATCACTACGAGATGACTCCCTTAATGGTTCAAGATTATGTAATGTATTCAACGATCTAACAGACATTACATTTGAACAATTCGATGTCACATATTTAACAATTTAAAATGTAGGCGAGGTCTCATAACAAAACGTGTCTTACTCCATTTGTCATATTTTAAAGTTCTTTGTATGATTCATGATATT